GCGATTAATTGCTGATCGTATGCTCTTGTATGTATTACTGTGACATTCTGTGGCTTGTTCTTTTGTCATAGATTGTGATTTTTTTTCATTGGGTTTCGTTGCAGCCTCTGCATAAAATTTCTCAAGTTGTTTATTCAGCTCAGTAGCAGAAAATTTGTGGAAATCAGTTGGCAGTCCCAAAGCTTCAACACTCCATTACAAAAAAGAGAGACCTTAGATCAATTTATCAAGTCATATTTCATATCCAGATAGCTTAATGGTAAAGCAATCATGCAATTCGTGTGGGGAATTTGGGTTCAAGTCCCTGGATATCTTAAAAATGTTGATGACTTGATATAATTTACATTTATAAAAGCTAAAACTTGCATTTACATTAAAACAAATTACTCCCCACTATGTATTAAACTTTGTAGCTTGTGACTGCCTGCTGTCTTTCAATTCCTGCAGCTCTGTTTCATTAACAGTTTTGAATATTTTTTTCTTGCAGTCTGTGTCTGGGTCTCTAAGCATTGTTTCCTCTGTTTTTATAGGATTTAAAACCATTTCCATCTCTTCCTCAGCCCCCTTTCTTGATGTTGATGCATCAAGTTCCCCATCAAAGATTTGATGAAGGGTTTCCCAACCAATTTCTTTAATATCAACATTTTCTCCTACCCCCAGCATGTCAAAATCTGCCATTGTGCAGACAACAAATCACAACTCATAAAGTTCCATCTTATTAGTGCCTTGACTATTTGTTTATAGAATTGTGTAATTTACAATGGACTGGCACCAAAAAAAATTTAAAAGAATTTCTTTTAAAATATTTATTATTTTTTAAAAATGATAAACATTTTACTATAAACTCTAATGTAAACAGGAAGTTATGGTAAAACGTAGTTCCGGCTCACTGTTGCTAAGGGGGCGTGGCTCTATCCCTACATTCTCTATACTATATAAAACAAAACCATGTGACAGTCTAGTCCAATTAAACTACACTAAATTAAATTATATGAAAACAGCCCAAATTTATACAAAAAAGACTTGTATGTTAATTTAACTCAAATCCCCACTCCGTAACTCCGTAACTCCACTCTTAGCCTCAAGTCAATGAATTACACAGTGCCGTTGGGCAACGCCAGGAAAGACAATGAGGAAGTACAAAAATAGGAATGCTATGAATGTCCAATTCAGAGTAGAAAAAAACATTCTTATTAAATTATTTTAAAAGAACATCTTTCACGTCTCCGTGTTGACTACAAGTATTGGGGCAACAGTACAACCTGCCCGTCTGTTCAGAAACGCCATACGATGTTTCGGAAATTGACTTATTGTTTTTGGTAATGATTAAAATATTTTCGGTTTTCTTTTAGCAATTTATTATTGATTTGCGGCAATGCAAAAGTGCAACTGGGCAAACACAATTGCCATGACATGAAGCAATATAAGTAATTGCATTTTTGAAATGTTTTTTTAATTATAATGTTTAATGATATTACTCACAGTTTCTGGATCATTTAGATCATGAGATCAAAATACACGTCCGAGTAGATCTAAATGTTTTCTTTCTGTATCATAAACATTTCTGCGTTGCATTTTAGTGGGTATCGCAGTAAATCTCAAGTAGCAATTTCTTTCTTAGGCATTGATGCATAGACTTTTTTAATGACAATCTCGACAAAAAACTTACTCCAAGTAACAAACACACTTGAACATATCTGGTTTCTAGATTCTGATTTCAAACATGAAATAAAACTCTTAAATGAATTAAATACAATAAAATGAAATAAAATTATAATGACAATAGGGTAAATCTTTTATAACATACTGGTTTTAATCATCAAATTTCAAATTAAGCATATACAGTTGTAAATGTAGTGTTCGGAGGCTTATTTTTAGGTTGAATTTAATTTTCAAAAAGACAACATATTTTAAAACGTTAGTGCTTTCATTATTTTTTTCAGACGTTTAAAACATATTTTCTTTTTCTTGACTGTAACGTCTAACAAAACTATTTATACTTTTAAAATTCATTATCTATATTTAAATCTTACAGTAAGGTATAACATTCGTGTACTATGTTCACACCTTTGAAACCAAACTCTTCATGCGTTTATACTATTACTTGGAGAACATATGTGAAAGTTTAGTCAGAAATCAAATTAAAATATGTTAAGTCTGAGTTTAAATTTTTGAATGAAAAATTCTTAATAATCTCTTCTTCCAATTATATTGTCTCTTAAAAGTTTATAGACAGTAAAAATTGTCCCTGTCCGCATAATTATATGAATGCTTTCAATGAGTTCAATATAGAACTGGTTGCATCCTCCTCAAGTACATGTAATAACTAGTATAATTATTTTTCGACTCACTTGTCATGTCCAAATTAATGAAAAATCTCTTCCTCTAAAATAACACGACGTTCCTTGCCTTAAAAGTGGACATGTGCCACATTTGGAATATTTAAACGTTGTCAAGGACTTTGTAGATTTGCTTATTTTGGAAGGAGCAAGTATTCGTCTGAGGTATTTGGATTGCTTTTTACTGTTTACAAACTAAATCTTTTAAAGAACCCTTGACATTTCTTCATCTGTATTGAGGATTTTGTTTATATTTTACACAATAGGAGTAATATTTTTGTTGTAAATTTTATATTTGGGTCTTATTCATTCATATTCATTCAAAATATCCTTTAAAATTTTCAAATCTGAATAATCTTTTCTCAATATAAAAAAATCATCTAGACATCTCCAGTTTCTCTTCGCGAAATTCTTCACGTCAAGCGTTTTCATTTAGTGTCTCTTCTAGGTATCCAAGTATGAGATGCAAATGTAGGGGCAAAAGTAGGGATCATACTGGTACCCATGCAAATCACATATCAGGTACATTCACATCATGAAAAATTTCATCGAAAGCAAACACATCATTCTTTAAAACGAATTTTGTGGCTTTTAGAGAGAGCGAGAGAGAAAGGTCTAGTGTGGTAATAAAAATGTTGACGTATCAAATAATACTTAAGCTGATTTCTAATATAAATAAAAATAAAATGATAAAAATGTCACTTACATGTAAGTGCTTGTTCTGTTTTGCGACAATTAAGACACGTTCGTATAATTTTTTAATAATATCTATATACATGTATTTCAAATTTTAAATATTTTTTTTTAAATCAATCATTAACTCAAAAAGACATTGCCCTGTTGAAACATCATCTAACATGGACATATCTAAAGGACGCAAGTGTCATTAATTTACGAAATACATGCATTAGTGTTAACATTTGAGAAAAAGTTTGCATCGCGGAAGTTTTACATTCGCTTGTATCAAATTGAGTTTATCAAGAAAATGTACGTATTGTATTTCTTTTTGTAAGATAATGCTATCCTAACATTAACTAGTGCTAATTGTAACGGGGACCGTTGCAGATGTTCCCCAAACCCTCCCCAACTCTCTTTTTTGTGCCATATTCCCTGTAAGATTCGATCATTAAATAAGACAAACTCTATGCATTTGAGACTTTAACAACGTTTACACAGAAGTGTACCAAGTTCATTCAAATTTTATTATTGCAAGCATGCACATGTGAATGCATGTGCGTAATGACCATATCATTTTGTCTTCACAATCTATATATTTTAATATACTTAAATATTAAAGTATTTAATCCAAAAGTATTAAAAAATACGCTCATTCAAGTGTATTTCTGATTTTACTTATTTCACGTGCACGCACGTGCATACATGAGCATGGTGGCCATACCTTCTTCTAGAAGTCCATTACATCTATGTTCTATATCCCACCCCGTTTGGTTGAAAACCAAGGGAGTTATAGCTGTTTAAAGTTTCAGAATCAGATTGCAGCGCACGTACAGGCACGTGTATGCATGTGCATGGTGACATACCTTATTGTAGACGTCCATTACATCTATCTATGTTCCAAATCCCATCCTGTTTGGTTGAAAAGCAAGGGAATTATAGCTATCTAAAGTTTAAGCCAATCAGATTGCAGCGCACGTGCATGCACGTGTTTTCATGATAATTGCTGTATATCATGTTGTAGGATATCCTAATGCATGGCTATCTTCAAAATTTCAAAGGATTTTGTCAAAAAATAAGAAAGATATTGAGACTTTTGTTTCAGCCAATCAGAGCGAAGCGCACGTGCATGCGCGTGAGATCTTGCTATTTTGACAATGTCATATTGTCTATGCTACTAATATATCCTTATATTATGAGTTTCAAAGCATTTCATCTAAAATGTAAAAAGTTACGCGTATATCAATTAAATCGGTCATTTCACGTGTTGCACGTGCACGCTCTTGCAAGCACGTGCGCGCAAAATGACGTTTGTTCTGCAAATCTACATAACATGCCTACTGACCCTAAAAAGGTTTTACCTTAGTCGGATGTGTAGTTTACAAGATCACTCGCGTACAAAATTTTCCCAGGAAGAAAAATAATAAGAATAATAATAATAAGAAACAGAGTAAAAACAATATGTTCCCCAACTTCGTTTGGGGAACATAATAATGCAATCTTTTATGACATGGATTTTCAAAATAAGAATCTGACATCAAGTTACAAGGATTATCGTTGTTTTATCAAAACCTAACAACTCAAAGTTCACATAGGCATATTGGACTCAACGACCCATAAAATTAAAGATGTCAGACTGTTTTGTTGTTGTTGTTGTTGTTGTTCAACTTCCATTGATATAACAGCACTAGATGAAATCCCGAGTGAAACAGAATTTATATATAGTTACCGTTTCCAACAGAAAATAACACAATGTTATGGATAGTATACTTAAGATATTCTTATTTCCGTGAAGGATGAAAGCAGCGAATATACACAATTTATAAATAAATTGATATTTTGGTAGGGGTGGGAGTGAGGAGGGATTAAAATTCACAGGTACTAGGGTCTTGGTTTATAATCATATACTAGTTTGTACCTTATCGATATGTAAAAATTGTAATTTCCTTTTTTTTTTTTACATATCAATAAGGTACATTCATGTCATACTCATACACCATCCAATCGTCAGGCGCCTGTGGTATTTTTTTTTTACAATATTTTTATAACACATAAGAAAAATGTTTATACGAAATCAACGCATCAACTTGCAAGATCTTGATAATAACAATGTTTATTATTGTAGCTTATCCATTTAGTCTTTATGAAGGCTTCACATATGGGTCTGTCATTTGTATGTATGTGCCTTGGGCTGTGTCTGCACAGGGACTTAAGTAATGATCATCGTCGTCTCCAACAGGTTTTTCTGCCTTTGCGTCTTCATGTTCCATCATTTCGGCGATGGTGTTGTATTCCCCTGAGCTCGGTCTGTCCATTTGATATTCTCCGTTCATAAACGTAGAATAGTGATTTCTCTCGGACATGACCGAGCTTTCGTACTGAAGCCTGGTAAAATAAAGAAGAAATTATTTTGCTTGTTTTGTGTTATGTTGCTTTGTACTTGGGCGGGGGGGGGGGGGGGATCAGATATGCATTGGCAATTTTTTTTATGGCTTACCCTGTGGGTTTTGTTTTTTTACGAAGATGAATAATTCGACACGAAACAATGAAAACTACCAAAGCCACCAAGACTCCAAACCCTATTCCAATGTAAACATACAAAAAACTGCCGATCTCTGAATCAGGTCTGTGTGTCGATACATTTGTCAATGCTGCAATAGGAAGTTTATAAAATAGCGTTTAATAATTATATACATGTAAATGTACATGCATTAAAAGAAGTTCTCAAGCTATTACCTTAAAAGTAGAGTGCAAAAATCTCCCAGTTTAAACATAATTTTATATACCTGTACCATGCATTTGATACGTGAAAATATTTAGAATTAACAAAAATAATTTTGAGAGCATGTTAAACATTAAGTTGATTTTATTTTATTTATTCAACAATTTTGACTTAAATAAAAGATTAAATCTTTGAAAATCTTTGAATCGTACGGAGACATAAATTGCTAGAATCTTTGTTCCAATCTCCACTGGAATTACAGGTGATATAGTCCGGAGTAACGCGGTCGTAGTTAGTTTCGCAGGAGAAATCACATGTTTCAGCAACTTTTCTACTACAATTAAGAGCTAATCTGGCATGATGAATGGAAGACGGACATAAAATTTCTGTAGAAAAAATTGAAAGGGCATGATACATGTATCACATACAGTGTATAAGTCTAGTTTTGAAAAAAAAACTATTTGAATTACCGTATATACTCGCCTATAAGTCGGTTTTTGGGAGTTTATCTCTGGTCCAAAACTCTTTGTTCGACTTATAGGTGAGCTATAAAAAAAACGGTTTTATATGAGGTCAGACCTTCTGATATATAAGCTTTTTAATACAGCTGACTTATAGGCGGCCGACTTATAGGTTAGTATAAACGGTACTATTTAAATTACTGGATAATTATATGTTCTTAAGTCTTCTAAACTTAAAAAAAATAAACTTTTTTCATGAATATTGTTTTGGTATTTAAAATAACTACAGAATTATATTTTTTAAAAATACGATGTTAAAGTAACTTTTAAGCCAAAGCATATATTCTGCTTAACCTTGAAATATAAATGCGTAGTAAGTGTTGTTGTTGTTGCTTTTAGAAAACTAAACAATGAATTATCTAAATCTTTACTATTTAAATTACTGGATAATTATATGTTCTTTAGTCCTCTAAACTTCAAATAAAAAACTTTTTTCATGAATTTTGTTTTTGGTTTTTTAAATTACTACAGAACCTTTATACCAAAGCATATATTCTGCTTAACCTTGAAATTTATATGAGTAGTTATAGAAAGTTTGCGTTTTGCTTTTAGATAACTACCGGTAAACAATTGTATAAAACTCAAATGACAAAAACAAATGAGCTCCTTTGATGTATATTGTGTTATCATTTTAAGTAGGTTTCCTATTCAACCCCTCTTCATGTTTACCTGGACACACACGATCAGTATCTTGGCTCCACTGACCCGAGGAATTACAACTGAGGGTCTTGTTAGCCATCAATTTATAACCCGACTTGCACTCAAACTGACATGTTTGACCAGGATATGGAAAACACTCCAGGAAATCCATATTTCCAAGAGTTGTTCTACAACTTGGCACTAAAAGAAATTAAAAGTTTCATAAAATTTATTGAAATGAAAACACCAAAGAGTATGGAAGTAAAAAAAAAGTAATGAATAGAAAAGCACACAGAATAAAAGAAAGTCAAATAAGTCGGATGACAATTTAAAACTTTCATGAGTTGCTTGAGGTATTTGATACAGAAACGCAGTTTTTAAACATTATTCTAAGACGTTTTGGGATATCATACCTCCCGTGCACACAGCATTATTTGGTTCCAAACTCACGTTGTCTTCACAAGCGCACGCTCTTCCGCCAGGTACTGGTAAGCAGAAGGTACTACACATACCATTCTTTATGGAACAGTTTGTGTTTACTAGGTGATAATATTTACTCTTTAAATCTTTTATACTTATTAGACAAAAAAGACTAGTATATCTTACAAGTATTATATCAAAAAGGTTACTTTGGATAATAGTTGAAAATGAAATATTTTTTTAATTTCTTAAGTTTTGTGTTGTATATTTTTGCCATAAAACACTGTAAAATGAGAACACAATTTCTTATAGTACATGTAAGTAAAATGTGTTATTCACATGCATGCAAGTATTAATTACCTTCAATTATTTCGTTTGTATAGATAGCAATACTGTCTAGACGTCCAAGCTCAGGGTGATTCTCCGTAAAGGGATCTTCTGCTCCTGTGGTTTTATCAATTCTTGTTATACGCCTAAATTAATTTTAAAAAATATTTTAAGAAATCGACTTGGAACAATTGTATATGTTAATTATAAGATATTTGCAAATCAATTTAACAAAGCAAGTATAATTTGCTTGTTCGTTCAAATGTGTTTCTCTTTTCGAGGATAATAATTATGTTCATAAATGATATATTTTTATTTTAATTATCGCTAACATTTCTTTCCTCTGTTTTTAAATTATTACTCTTTGGCAATATACTAGTAATGATGTTTTGACCATTGGGTTCAATCTGTGCAGATTTTATCGTATTTAAAATAAGGCGATCAATTTTCTACAACTGATACTTACTCTTATGAACGTCCGTTTCTTAAACATTCAGAGACAACATGCCTCTAATGACACTATTTTTTAAGCAAATAAACAATTTAAATCATGATAAATTGTAAAAACAAACATATTCGAAAGAAGACAATAGTTTCCCTACGGTACTTAATCCAGTATATAAGAATATTATTAAAAGTTTAACTAGAGTACAAGCTTTATAAATCTATGGAAAATCATAATTTACTTTTAAAAAGGAAACCCATTTTTTATGTTTCTACTTTTAAAAAAAATAATTCTGAAAGGAAGCCAATAATAAAGCAAAGCCAAGTAAACACATGATACATTGTATGTAAGCTAATCCTTTGAGACTGTTATGTGTCTTACTGTCTATTCCAGGCGGTATAGTATAGAAACTGTCCACTTAACACGATGTCAGCAAGCTGTCCATCCTTGGCGGTTGCCAAAACGCGTTGATTTCTTCCATCGAGATCGGCGTATTCTATTGTGTTCCTCTGTCTATCAGTCCAGTATAGTCGATCAGCTAAACAGAATTGCATGACACTTGTAATATAGAGCAGAGTGTGTGGGTAACTATGTTAATTATAATGTTATTAGAAATATTTTGAAGCAAATATGAAACTTAAGAAATCAAAAACAAACTTTCAAAATCCAAAGCTAAACCATTTGGCGATCCACCATCGATTGTTACTATGTATTCTTTAGATGTACCATCCATAGACGCCCTTCCTATTCTGGGAAATATTCCAGTCTCTGTCCAAAACAGTATTCTAAATGCAAAAGGCATTTGTAAATAGTTAATATGAATATTGAGTTCAAGAATATGTACCAAAACGGGTTTAATCTGAATAAACCCGATAATACATGCATGACTGATATTAATAACAAATGCATACCCTTTTGCTGAATGCAATACAATTGCTTTTGGATTTTGCAAGTCATGTATCAAAATTTTGTGAACCAGTTGTGTTCTGTGTAACACTCCAACATAACTGCTATTTGGCTGAGAAGAAATGGCCGTGAAGTAAATGTTTCCAGTTGACTGATCAACAGCTATACGCTCAGCATTAGTAAAACCTTGATAAAACATGCATATAATCATTAGACACATTGATCGATATGTTAAGAGGTTTACTTGTACCTACATATGTATAAAAAAGACCCTTTATTAAAGATTCATATAACAAAGTATTTTCATTTTGTTACACAACCATTTTATATATATATTGACTTTCTCTCTCTGTCTCACTTTTCATAAAACATTATCAAATTTGATATCCTACAATAAAAACTTTTAAAGAATATTCACCGTTTTATATCAATTTTGGAGTTTGTCCAAAAAAAAACCCAACAAAACATGAAGCCATTTACATAAATCGTGGAATCGGCAGGAAAAATATAACATATAGACTAATACAGGTACCTGTAAGAGTTGTCAAGGTTGCCTGCTTTCCTTGAAGTGTAAATACTTGTACTGTTCTCGATTCTGAATTGAAATAAATGATCTCCTTTGTCGTTTTATCTAAAGTAATTCCTGAGGTGCGTTGAACATTGATTGGTAGTTTAACAATTTCTCCTGTATTCAAATTGATCTGTAGTATTCGTCCGTGGGTAAAATCAGATGCAATGATAAAATCTGAATTCAGAAAATCTACCAAATAAAGAAAAAATGCTTTCAATACCAAAAGTCTGCTACCTCTGTCTCATATTTGGGCATTTTTACTCACTGAAGATGATCAGGACCAATTTACAACTAAATTTTATCAAAAACATTATCACCTGCTTATATATAACATTTACCTCTGGCAAATTTATTAATAGCGAGAATTACATCTTATTTTTGTCTAACTTTTTCATACTAAATGATTGGTCTTTGTTTTTAATACTTAATTTGACTACGGATAATGGTGTCTATCTGATCTGTACATATGACTCTTATAGTGGGTGTGGGTCGATAGGGGATGTTTTCTCCTCCTAGGCATCAGACCCACCCCTGTCAATTTCTAGGGATCGTTTTCTAAGATTGATCGCTGTTCTTTATCATTGTGCTACTACTCTTAAATATAAATAAATACTCACTACTATCACATGACCTTTGATCTGCTTGGAGTTGTAAGCCAATGTCGCATTCACATTTACTTTTGTTTTCTGTAGGAATACAAATATCACCACATCTTCCATTGAGAATTTGACAAGTGCCTACAAAAAAAAATACAAAGATTAATCCTGTTGTTTGATCATTTAAAAAAAAACATTGGGTTGATTGTGAAGTTTTTATATCCTGCAGATAACATACATTGTAAGGGTGCATATTTTTCTCAATACAATTTTGAAACAGAATATTAATCTAAAACATCAACAATGGAGGAATAACTCGTTAACTTGTACCAATATTCATCAATATAAGTTCAATATCTCAATATTATACTTATCAGTTATTATATATTGTTCCCTTTAATACTATTAATGTTATACTACATTGTAAATTAGAAAGATGAAAGCAGATTACCTTTTAAGTCATCTTGCAGAATTGGATCAAATGCTTTAACCTGCACTGGGTTTGGAAATATATTGAAATAAACCTCTGATGCAGAAGATGTTTTGCTTGAAAAATGAATTTCCTCTCCACTAAGCCAGCCAATGAAATCCTAAAAATCATTTTAAATGAATGATTTAAAGTTGTTATTTTAATTCAAAATTTCCATAATATATAAATAATTTCCATCGCGTGCATTCAGCAACTCGTAAAAATTATTTACGTATTTCATCAGTTTTTGAGCTTCAAGATATTGAATGATGTAATTATTTAAAACATAAGAAATTACTTTGGCTTACAAAATTATTTTCCTTTCCATGAATTACTTGAAACGTGTGAAATTTAAAATCTTTACAATAAATAATTAAAACATTGGTATGGTATCCTTGACAGATAAAAGTATTTAAAAGCTAAACTTGTATAGGACCTTGTAAATAAAGAGATCTGTTGCACGGGAGGCTATGATATGACTTTTAATGTCTGAACCACTGGGTTGTGAACTTTTTACGAGTACACCACTCTCCAGCCAAAATATCCTGTAAACGATAGAAATGATCTTACATGTACATTACAAAAATTGTACATGAAGTAAAAAATAGAACAATTCAAACATCTTCAATTTAATTTATCTTCTAATTTCATAAAAGAATTATTTTGCTTCTGATCATGAACATATGTAATGGGTATGATATTCAATTATCAAAGCACATTTTCAAATCTGTGACCGTCAGATAAATGCATATCATTGTCATCAGCAATTGTACAATTCCACGCATTCAACTTTAGTTTATTACAAAATATGAATTAAATATTATGATATTATGTATGTGTCTTAAATAATGCATATCTTGAAATCCAACCAAAAATCACAAATGAAAGCTTGAGGATACATGCAATTTCAGTCAATACCTTTGACTTGTAATGTCATATTTAAGGAACATTGGATCATCTAAGTCAGATATAATGGTTTTTGGAGGATTTCTGTCCCAGCTTCCTCGTATTATAGAGGATGTCGAAGATGAGATCCAGAATATTGCTCTGTAGAAATAATCATGAATACTTTGAAAAAAAAAAGAAGTAGCAAGACTATTTCTTTTCGGAGATAAACTTTTAGAACAGAAAAACTGTGACCTGTAGATCACAAAAATTTGGACATTGTGTTTATGTCACTATTCACACAAGATAATTGTTTTTTACATTTGAGCTTATAATTAAAAAAGAAAATAACATTTTTTTTATTAAGGAAAAGAAATAAAAACTGATCCATAAAAATATATGCATATTCAGCTTTGATTCAATCATATATTTATTTCGCAAAACAAAGTTTCTTCATCAAGTATAGAATTCGAAACGGTAGAAATGTACAACTTAATTAATTAATATTAATGAATAGTAATAAACCCATTCATTGCGTCAACTGTGAGTGATATGGGTTGCTGAAGATTGGCGTAAACTGTTGAGACACTTCCGGTTTTCAGATTATAAGTCCTTATTGAAGACTGGTTAGGTTCAATCCAACAAAGCAGATTAGAAATCCAATCATAGTTTAGATCTAAAATAAATGTTTGTATCAATAGAGTAACTTAACATTTCCAGTCTATCGATAGATAAAGAAATGAAAATGTCACGTTATCTTTTATATACTCAGCAACCATATTTTGTGATCAACAGAACAATAAACAAATATATTTCGAACAAAATTCAGGAATAAGTTTTATATTTTTCTTCTTTACTTAAATCAGTTTCTTTGTTCCTTTTACGACATGCATGTTAACACAATCTTCTTGAATTAACATATGATCTTTTCTTAAATTTACTTAAATTGAAAACTCCATCTCCATTTTTATTTTACTATAAATGAAAACTCCATTAAATATTTAAGCATACCTGCTACAGGATTTGTAGAAAGAATATTAGAATAACGGTTCGTGAAAATGTCAAGTTTGTATATTTCATTCCTTTTTGCGTCAGCAAAGTATATTTCTCTTGAATAAGCGTTAATGGCAAACGTCGTCATTATTGCAGTAGGAATTTGAAAATAAGGAACCCTCTCTGCCTGTCCGTTTAATGATCTTGTATCCAGCATATAAAACATAGTTGCATTATTTACAATAATTCCTTTGTCATAAAACCAGGATCTCTCTGAAAATAAAAGGCAAAAGTAAAAAAAAAATAATATTTTTGATACATCTGTTCACATTATACATGTATCAATTGAAGAAAGTAAATTTATTTGTTGAAATGTTTGGTGGGGGAAAGAGCAATCGTGACTGTAAATGAAATATATGTATTTATAATTGGACGTTACTTACCATTGCAAGAGGAGCTATCATCGCCAAGTATATATCCTTCAGCACAGAGACATTTTGGACCTGGTGGAGTGTTGACACAGATGTGCTGGCAATACTGACCAGAGCA